TCACTTGCTATGAGTCAGAGAGCTGGACAATGACTAGGAAGGGCAGAAGAATTTATGCCTTTGAGCTGTGGTGCTGAAGAAGAGTATTGAATATACCATGGACTGCTAGGAAAATGAACAGGATCACAGGTTCATCCTAGAGAGGGTTAAACCAGGCTGCTCCTTGGAGGCAAGAATTCTGAAGCTTCATCTCACATACTTTAGATATGTTGCAAGGAGGGACCAATCCTTAGAGAAGGATGTCATGCTTGGGAGGGTAGAGGGACAGTCCAGGAGAGGAAGACCCTCTATGAGGTAGATTTATTCAGTGACTCAGGTAATAGGGGTAGGCGTGTCAGAGATAGTGAGATTAGCACAGGATAGAGCAGGGTTTAGGGCTGTTACACATAAGGTTGCTATGAATAGCAAGAGACTCTACAGCACATAAATAACAACAACAACAATAACTCTAGAAACAATGAAATACAATTGTTGTTATGTACCATCAAGTGAAGTATGACTCATAGCAACCCTATGAACAAAGGACTTTAACCCTGTCCTCATCATTTCTGACACACTAGAGCCCACTGCTGCAGTCAATGTCTATCCATCCCGGGGGGTCTTCATCTCTTTCACTAACCCTCCACTTTTCCAGCATGATATCCCCTTTACACGGAAGAGCCCCTCACAGTAACATGTCTGAGATGAAGCTTCGCTAACTTTGTCTCCAAGGAGCACTCTGGTGTCACTTTTTCCAAAATATAACTGTCTGTTCTTTTGGCAGTTCATAAGATATTCAGTATTCTTCTCCAACACAACTCAAAGGTATCAAATCTACAGTTATTCTTATTCATTGTCTAGCTCTCAGATGAATGTTGTTGTTTGTTGTTGTTATGTGCCATCGAGTCAGTCGTTCGCGACTCATAGCGACCCTATGTACAAGAGCCCTAAATGCCATTCTATCCTGTGCCAACCTCGCTGTCTCAAACCCATTCATTCCCACCACTCCACTCACAGAATCAATCCATCTCATCGAGGGTCTTCCTCTCC